CAGCAGGCCAAGGTGGAAGGATCACTTCAGGCCAGGAGTTCCAGATCAGCCTGGGCAAAAGGGCAAGACCCTAGCTCTACAAAAAATAAATTTTTTAATTAGCCAGGCATGGTGGTGCGTACCTGTAGTCTCAGCTACTTGGGAGAGTGAGATGGGAGGATCACTTTTAGCCCAGAAACTGGAGGCTGCAGTGAGCTAGAGTCATACCATTGCACTCCAGTCGGGACAACAGAGTGAGACTCTGTCTCTAAAAAATTAAATTAAAAGGTGGGGGAAGATTTCAGGGAGCTTATGGGCCACAGGGAAACTCCTTGATCCAGCAGATGAACCTCAATGGATCTGCCTTCAGGATCTCCCCTCCATTATAAAGAATACCATGATGAACATCTTCAGGCAAATTTTTTTTTCTTTCTGTAATTTGGATTATTTCTTAGGATGAGTTCCAGAAGAGACATTTGGACTTAGGGAGTAGAAGCTGCTCCAGTTCTTTATCCAAATCATCAACCCACCTCTCCAGGACAGGGTGCCTGCCACTTGGGGGCCATGCCACCCATACCCTCACCCACCTGGCTCTTTAGACTGGACGGTTGCCTTTAGGCACAGAAATGAAGGGCAGGACGTCCACTGATCCTGCCTCATGGTCATCCTCCCCACAACCCACGCCTTTCTTTCTGACACCAGGACAGGTGCAGGAAACAGAGAGCCCAGAGCCCAACCTTGGCTCAGGGGCACTCAGGATCTCAGGGCAGGGAGGCAGGTCCACGAGGATGAGTTGGCCACAATGGTTCTCATCAACCCAAATCAGCCTTGAACGCTCGTTTGGTCAAGGATTTCCAGGTCGTCCCTGGGCTGGGGGCTGAGGACTCAGGAGTCCAGCTTTCAGGAACCAGGTCCTGTCTGGCTGTACTGCACGGCACAGGCAGTGCACGAATGCGAGAGCCCAGGGCACACAGTCATTTTTAAAACCACGTAGCCCTTCTGTGAAGTACCTGCCAGATAAGCAAGTGTCTGGGGAACCCTGGAATCCCAGGGGCTGTTCCTCCTCCTGGCCAATCCCAGCCAGACACGCAGCCCGCACGTGTAGTTCTTCAGTTCCGCCACTAGAGGGGTCCAGCGAGCCAGCCTACCTGCTCTGCCCTCCTGGGGACTCAATTCCCAGGTAGAGTAATGGAGAACTTCCACTCCAGAGCCTCAGTGAGTGCAGGCAAGTCCTCAAAGCCACGCCCCTTGTGGGATGGCCAGCTCCCTGCGGACCTCAGCCCTGACACCCCCTCCTTGCTCCAGTGCACCAGGGCCTCTCTCTCTCCGGTTGGCCTCCTACACAGAGGGGGCTCTCAACTCTGGTTATACATTAGAACCTCCCTCCAGGAGTTCAAAAGATGCTGATTCCTTGGCCCCACACCCAGAGATTCTGTTTTAATTGGTTCAGATGTGACCTGGGCATCAGGATTTTTAAAAGTCACTCAAGGGATTCTCCTGAGCCGCTGGGTTGGGGATGCCCGCTCTATGGTCCAGTACCGCTGACCATTTTAGTCAAGGGTTTCCGGTCCCTTCACTTGAAGGTGCCTTAGGGGACGGGGAGGGAGCAGGATGTCCAAGCTTTGTTTCCAGGATCTATGATGTAGTGAGAGCCAAGACGGCACACTGGACACACAGAACACAGGGGCAAGGAAAGGCCAGGAAAATACAGATTCTGGGGCCCACCCAGCCACTTTAAGAATCTGTTCTCTTTAAAGCTCTCAATAGCCAAGCATGCATGACAGGGCTGGCCGGAACTGCTGTGACTGTTAGAACTACGACTTCTGTCTTGAAGACTGGCTGATTCCATGTCAGCCCCAGACTGGAGCACGCGCTCCCGGAGGGGTGGGGAGGGTCCCATTCATGTCCACCTCTGCTGAACTGGACTGACGAGGGCCTGAAGGGCACGTAATGCAGGACTGTCCAGGCCCCAAGGCAGAGAGGCCCACGGGATGGGCAGCCCCGAGCTGGTAGCCACGAGGCCAAGAAGCATTTTCTGTGCATCCATCATGAGCAGGGCCAGGAGGAGGCGAGCATCCCAGCACAGCCCCCGGCTGAGGATGGCTCCCCTGAGCGAGGATCCCCAGGCTAGGCTCTCCGACCATGGGCCCCAACCTCGCGCTCAACCCTCATGCTGACCCGCCCCACAAGAGTGTTGTTGGCTGCATTTCAAACCCATGGGGCAGCTGAATTTTGGACACAGGAGGTAACTTCCTCAAGATCACACAACTTCCCGGCGGTGGGGGAGAGAGGGTGATGCCAGGATCACAAGCAAATCTGTTGAGTTCTGAAGTTCACTCCTTCACCACCACCCGCCTCCCAGCAGACGGACAGGACACGACATGCAGCTGGGGCTCAAGGGGTAGAACAGAGAAGGGGGCGATGGGGAACACCCTCCTCAGACTGGGGGTTCAGAGAAGGCTCTCCTAAAAGCCAGACAGGAAGTCACCCCAGGGCAGAGTTGGCCAATCGGGAGCATGGAAGAGAGGATTGTGGGCTTAAAAGCGTGGGGCACCGGGTGCAGTGGTTCAAGCCTGTAATCCCAGCAATTTGGGAGGCTGAGGCAAGAGGCTTGCCTGAGCTCAGGGGTTCAAGACCAGCCTGGGCAACTTGGTGAGACCTCGTCTCTACAATAAATCAAAAAATTGGCCAGGCGTGGTGATGAGTGGCTGTAGTTCCAGCTACTTGGAAAGCTGAGGCAGAAGGATCGCCCAAGCCCAGCAGGTCAAGGCTGCAGTGGCCATGAGCATGCCATTGCATTCCAGCCTGGGCAACAGAGTGAGACTCCAACTCCAAAAGAAAAAGCACGGGGCACAGAGAGCCCCATGGACTGAGAGTCAGAGAAGAGACTTGGACGTGGAGCTGTGGGTGGGGAGGGAGGCAGCCTCACTCAGCAGGGGCCACATGGTACCTGGCTTGGTGGCTTCATGATGAGAGACACAGGGATAAGGGTCCCGGGCTGAAGGGCAGCTCAGCGAGCAATTGGTTGTGCAGCATCCCTGACTGCCACCCGCTGGATGCCAGCACACCCTCAGCCTCGGCTGTGACAACAGTGTCTCCTGACAGTGTCACATGTCCTCTGGGGACAGAATGGCACCAGGTGAGAATCACTGCTTTAGAAGAACCTGGAGGTACCTAGGCATCGGTATAAAAGCTTTCCTGGGCCAGGCTTGGTGGCTCAGCCTGTAATCCCAGCTTTGGGAGGCCGAGGCGAGTGGATTGCCTGAGTCTGCAGATTCAAGCCAGCCCAGGCAACTTGGTGAGACCTCGCCTCTACAATTTAAAAAAAAAATGAGTCAAGCGCAATAGCACGCACCTGGAGTTCCAGCTACTAGGAAGGCTGAGGCAGAAGGATCGCCGAGCCCAGCAGGCTGGTGCTGGGGTAGCCATGAGCATGCCACTGCACTCCAGCCTGGGGAGTGGAGTGAGACTCCAACTCAAAAAAAGCTTTCCTGGGGAGATCCCTACCTGTAGCCCTGGTGGAAAACCACCAAGGCAGAGGATGGGGAAGGGGGAGCCAGGAGCGCATTCCCATGATACTCCCATAAAATGCATATTACTATCTTCCTCTTACAAATGAAGAAACTGAGGCTCCAAGAAGAACTTTCCCAGGTTCACACTAACCAGGGGTGCCAGATCTCAATTCCCTAATTCCTAAATCCGAGCTCCTTATGAGACGAGGCTGCTGGACAGAGAGCTGACAGGCCAGGTTCTGGTTTGGGTTCTGCCACTAAGTCCTCAGCTCCGAGACCGTGGCCCAAGCCGGCCACCTCTTTGGGGTAGAGCTCCAACCTTCCTCTCCGCCTGGGCTCTGGGGACACAGGGACACCCGCAGGTCCCATGCTGGCACCACCAGGGGGAGCTCTGACTGAGCCCAGCCAGCGGGACCCAGGCCAGGGCTGGAGTTTTGTCCCCAGCCTGGTTCCCGGGCCCGAAATGCCACACAGTTCAGTGAACCTCATCCAGGGGAGCTGGAGTCCTCGGTTACGACTGCTTGCTTTTATCTGTACTCTCAAATAATTGAGACAAATGTTATCAGTTCCCCCTTGGGCTTTAATGGACCACATCTTATTGAAGGGATAAAATCAGAAAGGAATCCATCTCAAATTCATTCCTGCTGAAGCCAGCAGAGCATTCTGTGTCACTACACCCTGCCCCTTTGCTCCCTTACTTAATGGGTTCGCGTGACCTTCTGTGCTTCGAGCTCGTGCTATACCCATCTGGGTTCAAATCCCGGCTTGGCTTACATACTGGCTGGGTGGCCTCCAGCAAATCACTTACCTTCTCTGAGTCTTCCTTTCCCCTATTATATGAAGGGGTAACATTGAGATCTACCTCACAGGGTTGGGAGTGGTGAAAGCCTAAAAATATATCATTCATAGCACACGGTGTCCAGGACTGGGCCCTGGCAATGCCCAGACCATCAAATCCAGCACACGCCAGCATATAGCAGGAGCTCAATAACTAATCGTTTGCTCACTGACTAATGTCAGCTCTTACTGTTGTCTAAGGTTATCACCACCATTTGCCTAGAAATCTAACAAGCACAAGGACCACACCCAGGGCAAAGGCCAGGCCCACCTGTGCTTGCTCTGGGGGCTCTGGCCTGTGTGACTTCACTCTCTCCAACCTGGAGCAGGCCCACCTCCATGAGGCCCTGAGGAACCTCACAGTGCCATGTGACCCTCCCCTACCGGGGAGGTCTCCCTGGGCTGAGGCCCAGGGAGCTCACTGCAGGAAATGGGTCAGATCTGGAGGGGACCGTTGAGTCCTAGGTGAGGAGAGAGAAGAGTGTGGCCTTCACAACCCTCTCAGTGGGGCGTAAAGGAGGAAGCCTTCGCCGGGGGGAGGCAGTGCCTTCTGCAGCCACAGGACTGACAGACAGTGGCCTCTAGCCCTCAGCTAGCATCAGCTTCCCATGTGCCCAGGTCAGGCCTGGGGGACCCACCCCAGAGAGCCCACGCCCAGAACCAGGCACTCACCTGCTGTCGCTTTCCAGAAACACGGAGCCACGGCTCTCGGCAAGGGCTGTGCTGATGGGCGAGAGGCAGAAGGGCGAGGAGAAGGCATCGGAGTCCGAGTCGAAGGAGCTGTCTCTGCTCACGCCCTCGGCCGACAGCTCCAAGGAGCCCTCCTCCTCCCCGGCCTCGGGCCGCGGCTCCCGCCCCCCCTCGGTGCCATCCTGCGAACTGACCGTGGACAAGATCCCGGAGTCGCTGTGGGCAGGCTGTGAGGCCGGGAGGGGACCGTCCTCCCCCAGGCCCTGCGCCAGCTTCTCCCCGTCCTCTGGTGCTAGGCTGGCGAGCATGCCATCCGGGGCGCTCTGGGCCACCACCAGGATGTCCTCATCTTTGGGGATCAGGGTGGGCCGTGGCTCTGTGGGGGAGGGCTGGTGGGAGGCCCCTGAGCTCCTGGTGCGCCGGCCCCGAGGGCAGGGTGCCTTGCGAACGGGGGAGCTCTCTGGGGTGATGTAGCGCAAAGCCTCCTCATCCTGCCTCTGGATGCGAGAGTTGGGGACCCACGCCAAGATGAGGGTGGCCCCCAGCATCTCATCCTTCTCCATGTACAAGCAGAGGTAACCTGAAAGAAGCCAGCAGGATGGGTGGGTTAGGGCCCTGCAGGCTTTAGGTGAGGCCCCAACAGTGCCTTTGGCCAGCTTCCCGCAGGGGCCACCACCCTCTTCAGTAAATCACAAGCCGGGCTCCAGATACAGCTTGGTCCCAAGCAAAAAACACTAGAGGAACACAATGGAGCTTGAAATGAGTTCAAGCTCTGGGTGTTTTCTAAGCACACACACTTCCAGCCGATCTGGCGGTGCTGGTCCCCAAACAACAGCCTGATGTACACTTTTCTAAGCATGGGAAACTCTCCACGTGTCCAGAGCCTCCAACCTGGCCCCTGGGCTGACCTGCCTCTCATCAGAGACTGGGCAAGCCCAGTGGCCCTGGGAGAAGCCCAGCACCCAGGGAGAAACCCAGCGTCCGGGGAGAAGCCCAGTGTCTGTGGAGAAGCTCGGCATTCAAGGGCCCAGCTTCACAACTTTCTAGCATTATTAGAGGGATGCAAGCTGGAGACTTTATTCTATTTCACAAAAAAATACATCCAAGCTGGTGGTGTTTGGGCCTTTTCCAATCAGCAGCAGCACTCAGCTTTTTTTTATTTTTATTTTTTACTTTTTCTGATGCAGGTTTTTGGACGAAGGGGCCACTTCTTGGGCGTAAGTGTCACACACTGGATTGCTGGTGATGATGGAGAAAAGCGACTTCTCCCGGGTCAGCAGGCGGTGGATGGGCACTCGGTGGATGGGCACTCGGTTTTGGGGGAGGTAGCATTTTCTAATGCAACACCAAGCCATTTCGGGGTAGCCCAATTCCTGCTCCCAGTCCCCAGGTCTCTGCACCCCTGACTCCCAAATCTCCTTAGCACTGCTTTCCTTTCCAAGGGGGGGTGGGAAACCGGGGGTGTGTGAGGCAGCTGTGGTGAGGCCAACGGTGAGGCCAACAGTGAGGCCAAGTGTTTCCACATCCACAAACCACGTGGCTTTGGGACTGGGAAGAGAGCCTGAGCCCTCTGCTTCCCCATCCCTCTCGCTGTCCCTCTGTGTTTCACACAAAGTTCTCAGGCTGTTCCATTCTTTTTAGTTCATGCTCAGAACGAGTAACACGCTCGGGCCTGGTCCCAGAGCCTGGCCTTCTCCCCACTCCCTACACCCCTCCCCATGGGGTGAGGTGAGAGGCTGTGCCATCCCAGGCCCGCGCCTCCCTCCTAGAGCATTCTCCAGGGACCTGACCCCCCAATACCTCTGCCCACACCACGAGAACGGAAGAAACTTCAGCTGGAGGCGGGGTCCTGGGGACTGCTTTCCCAGTCTGGACCCTGCACTTGACTGTGAGAGGCTGTGAAGACACTTACCAAGGCAAGAGGACAGAATTCTTTCTTTAACCATTTCATTAGCACAATTTAAACTTTTGTCTTATTTAATAATTTATTTATTCAGTACTCTATGGAATCACAGTTTGCATAAAGTCAAGTGCCCAGATCTCACATATTATTATTATATATATATATATATTTTTTTTTTTTTTTTTCCAAATCCCAAATGTTCAGGTATCCTTTCTTTTTTCAATGTTTTTTTTTTTTTTTTTTTTTAATTTGAGTGAGTCTCACTCTGTCACCCAGGCTGGAGTGCAGTGGCACACTCACGGCCACCACAGCCTCAACCTGCTGGGCTCAGGCAGTCCTTCCACCTCAGTCTTCCAAGTAGCTGGAACCACAGGCATATGCCAACCATACCCAGCTGATTTTTTAAAAATTTATTATAGAGATGAGGTCTCGCCAAGTTGCCCATGCTGGTCTCCAACCCCTGGGCTCAGGCAATCCCCTCACCTCTGCCTCACAAAATGCTGAGATTACAGGTGTGAGCCACAGCGCCCGGCCTCAATGTAACTTTTAACTTTTAAATATTTTGACATCTTGTCAGGCCGCTATCTGCACTCTTGCCCTGGGCCCACAAATCTTAGAGTGGGCCCTTTCGGAGGAGAGGAAGCAAGACCCCATGAGCCACAGCCAGGCTATAGGGCCCTAAAGCATCCTTTAGAGGGGAGGGGAGGCAGGAAGAAATGAGGAGAGTTAGAGACTGCCCTCCAGCCCCACAGAAACTGTCGCTGTTCAGTCGACAGACACTCAGCCTCTCTGAGCACCTGGGTCCTCACCCACCAAAGAGGCCTGCTGGGACCCAGCCATTCTCAGGAGGTTACTGTACAAACTGAACAAAGCAATATATTTATTTGTTGCAGGTCGTCTACACAAATGGCAAAGGACCACGCAGGCCTCAGGTATCACTAACTCATCTTTTTGTTCCTCCCTCCGACCTAACATCTCCAGACTCCCTCCTTTCTGGAAGGTCTACAATTAATTATGGTTACCAAATGCACATGTCTTTCCTCTGTGCTGTGGCCCAAGGCCTTACTGCCCTGGCTCAGAACATAACTTGGGCCCTGAAGGGAAAAAAAAGCACAGTCTCTTCCTCTGTGGCGCATAACAAAGTTACCAACTCCACAGGAAAAAGACTTCCCCTCAGGGACCATGAGTGTCCCAGGAATGCCACAGGTGGTGCAGAGTTTATATGGAGTGTCCAGAAAGGTCCCACGACTTGTTTCTACCCTGCAAGACCCAGCTGGAGTTTTGTCCCTCATTTTGAAACCGTGAGATTCCAGGGCAGAGTGCGAACAAAACCGGTGACTTCCCAGGAATTTCCTCCCATCTCCAGCCCTGCCTGCTGCTCCAGTCCAATCTCATCTCAGCCCTCTGCCTTGGGGAAACCCTGAAGGATGGAGGTCCCGACTCCAGACGCAGAGCTAAGGAGAAAGCCCCAACCTCGGCAGGTTCCCTTGTAGGAGGGGTCCTGCTTCCTTCACCTGGTGGGCAGGGGCTCCCCCAGCAGCCCTTCAGAGCTCTCACACCTTTTAGGACCTGAACAAACTGGTGAAAACTGTTTAAATCCCTTAACTCATCCTGCCTCCGCTCCACGTGTACACAGGTCTCGGTCAGAGGGCACCAACACCCTTCACAGCTGACAGATTAGAGCAGATGAAGAAGTGAAACAGCCTTCTGAACGGGGGCCTGGTGACTTGAGAGAGACCCGTCGAGCCCTCACCAGGTCCATGACCTTGGGACCCCAGGCCCATGACCTCCAGGCCTCCCCTGCCCCGGCTCACCTGGATGGTGCTCCCCCAGCCCTTGCAGCCCCTCCGGTGGGTGCACGCAGACATTGTTCTTGGAGTAGATGATCTCTCCATCCAGGACAGAGGGGGACCCGCTGCTGCCGCCACCTGGGGTGAGGGTCAGGAGGTCCGAGGCTTTGGAGGAGGCCCGGCGAAGGAGGCGGCCCAGAGACATTGCTGGGCGAGTGTTTCCATCCTCCGCAAGCTTTGGCCCAGGCAGGGCTCGTCAAGACCTGCCTGGGTGAGGAAGAGAGAGGAGATGCATCCACGGTCAAGGTCATGGACTTGCACCAGGTGTCCCCAGGGCTGTGTTCTGCCTCACACCAGCATGTGTCACCTTGCATTACAGGATGCTGAGCAGCATCCCTGGACTTGACCTACAGATGCCACCAGCACCTCCCTTGCCAATACGACAACCAAAAATGCCTCTAGACATTGTCAATTGTCCCCTTGGGGTGAAATCACACTGATGAGAACCACTAGGCTAGAGGAAACCTGTTCCCACTGCTGCAATCTCCTAAAAGCCTCCAGGCATTCTTGTGGCCAGGTTTCCACCTGTATCAGCACAGTGGAGTCCTCCCAATTCATATTAAAAACAAAACAAAACAAAAAAGTCCTAGAAACTAAAGGATCAGTATCCAAAATATATAAAGAATTCTTACAAGTTCATTGTATAAAGAAGCAACATCCCAGTAGAAAAAAATGGGCAATTTGCACAAGAAGAACACCAAAGGACTGATAACGATGTAAAGAGAGTCTCAGTTTCAAACAAATATGCAACACCCAGGCAAAAGGCAATTTTAGGCCTAAAACTGTGCCATGCTGGAGAGGATGCTGGGAAAGAGGAGCTGTCGGAGCTCTGGTCTACCCCTGGGTAGGGGAGCGATTCCATAGGAGAAAGCCCAACCCCAGTCATTTCACTCTGAGGAAATGGCCTAGGGTGGGTTTTCTCTCTCTCTCTCTTTCTTTCTTTCTTTCCTAGGGTGGGTTTTCTCTCTCTCTCTCTTTCTTTCTTTCTTTCCTAGGGTGGGTTTTCTCTCTCTCTTTCTTTCCTTCCTTCCTTCCTTCCTTCCTTTCTTTCTGTTTTGTTTTGTTTTTAGAGTGGGTCTTACTCTGTTGACCAGGCTGGAGTGCAGTGGCTTGTTACATCCTCAAACTCCTGGACTCAAGCAATCCTTCAACCTCAGCCTCCAGGGTACCTGAGACTATAGGCATGTGCCACCACGCCTAATGACTAATTTTAATGTTTTTGAAGAGACTAGGTCTTACTATGTTGCCCAGGCTGGTCTCAAACTCCTAGGTTCAAGCAATCTTCCCACCTTGGCTTTCCAAAGTGGTGGGATTATGGGCATGAGTCACTGTGCTTTGCTCCTGGGATGGGTTTTCAAACAGCAGTTTGTAGCTCTATAGTAAACCCTGAAATCAACTTAGTGTGTCAAGACCAGCATAAGAGGAAAAACAGAAGAAAAAATGACCTTGCACACTGGCCGTGGCGGGACTCAGTGCTGGGGTAGGAAATGTGAAGAGGTACCTGTGTAGGTACAGCTACCTGGGATGCATAAAGTATATGCGTACTGTGTACTGGGACCTAAAACACTTGCAGACTCTGCATGGAGAATCTGTAACTCAATTATACAAGACACCTACACGACAGCTTTGGCAGCCAGTCTGTTCCAATTGGAAACCGGAAACAGCCAAAGGTCTACGCGGTAGCTGCGTAAGTCAACCAGACTCTTGTACTCAGACGGCACTCACGAACACACACACCCAACCAAGCCAGGGAACGACCATGGGCTGACGTCACCTGTGTAAACTAACAGACAGGCATTAAGCCTGTTGCATCCTGGTCACAGATGATGGATGTCCAGGACTCAAACCACAGCCGTGCAGGGTGCAGGCCAGTCTCACAAGGCTGCAGAGGAGGGAGAGAATGGAAGGTGAAATAAGGGCGGGGGGCTTCAACTTCCTCTCTTTGAAAGAAAGAAAAAAAAAAGACTTGAAGCCAATATGATGAAACAATTGACTGGGAGCAGATAAAGAAAACATGGTACATTGGAATATTATTCAGCCTTAAAGAAGAAGGAAATGCTGACACATGCTACATGCATGGACCTTGAGGACGTTATGCTGAGTGGGAGAAGCCAGGCACAAAGGACAAATGTTGTCTGTTCCACTTAGATGAAGTTCCTAAAGTGGTCAGATTCATGGAGACAGAAAGTAGAGGGAGACAGCCAGGGGCTGGGGAGGGGGGATGGGGAGTTAGTGTTTTTAATGGGGACCGAGTTTCGGAAGATGAGAAAGGTCTGAAGGTGGATGTTGGGGATGGTTGCACAACATGAATATACTTAGTGCCACTGAACTCTATACTTAAAAATGGTTAAAATGGGCCAGGTGCAGCTGGCTCATGCCTGTAATTCCAGCACTTTGGGAGGCCGAGGCAGGAGGATTGTTTTGAGTCCAGGAGTTTGAGAGATCAGCCTGGGCAACATAACAAGACCTAGTCTCTAATTTTAGAGGAAGGAAGGAAGGAAGGAAGGAAGGAAGGAAGGAAGGAAGGAAGGAAGGAAGGAAGGAAGGAAGGAAGGAAAGAAGGAAGGAGGAAAAGATTTTTAAAATGATAAGTTTCATGTTATAGTATTTTACCATAAGAAAAAAAACTAACTGCTGGTGGGAATGCAAACTAGTGCAACCTCTTTGGAAAACATTGTAGCACCTTCTGAAAGAACTAGAAATTGACCTTCCATATGACCCAGCAACTCCCCTATTGGGAATAAACCCGGAGGAACTCAAATCATTCTACAAAAAAGATACCTGCACATGTATGTTTATTGCAACTCTATTCACAGTAGCAAAAACATGGAACCAACCATGTTGCCCATCAAAGCTGGACTAGATTAAAAAAAAACGTGGTTCACATACACAATGGAATATTATGCAGCCATAAAAAAGGACAAACATATGGACTTTGAAACAACTTGGATGGATTTAGAGTCTATCGTACTGGGTGATCTATCACAGAAACAAAGAACAGAGTACCATATGTTTTCATGCATAAGCAGACCTTGAACAATTATTATAATACTATAAGAAAGGGATTGGCAGTAGGGAAAGCTGTCAGTGGAGGGGGGTGGGATTGGCAGTTGAGGAAAACTGCTAGGGAAGGGAGGGGCATACTTCATCAACGAGGGTACCTGCATAATCAATGTTTGTATACCTAACCCTGAATTGCACCCCACATCTTTATAATAAAAAAAATGAAAAAAATGAAAAATTATCTGTTGGTAGAGGGTCTCAGGGTATATTATATTGTTTCTTGAACTTTCTGCATTTTTTACATGTCTCCAAAAATCCAGAGCTGGTTGAGGGTGTCCCCTAAGTCAAGTTCATGCTATTTTCACTTCCAGCACTTGGCTAGGCTTTGGGACAGATGGGGGGGAGTGGGAAGGTGGGGTCCCAGCTGGCTCAGCAGGAGACAGGGGGCAGATTCATTGGTGACCGTCCTAGAACCAAGCAGCTCAACACTCGACCTTCCACCCCACCTGCCTTTCTGGGTGCCTCTGTCTGACTCCACTCTGTTCTCCAGTCTGTCCTGCCCCCATTTTCATATTTCCAGTGGCCTCCATGACTACTGACTTTCCCCAAGCACAGTATTCTAGCAACTCCCAGCCTTCCTGCATCTTTCCACTGGCAGATCCATCCACCACTCCCATCTTCCAGTCCCACCGGTCCCCATGTCAGCATCATCTTTGAAAATCACCAGTCCTGGGACAGTGACCCAGTTCAGGTCCTCACCTCCTCAGCCCTGAGCCACAGGCAGCTCCCATGGATCTCAGCTGGACCCAGGCCCTGAATTCTGTGGGTCTCCCTAACCCACCCGTTTTCAGGCCTCTCGGCATCCCAGTGTGTCCAGTGTGGGCTGCAGAACAAAGTCAAACCCTTGAGGCAGGGGTTGGCAAACTTGTTCTGCAAAGAGCCAGACGGCAAATATTTTGGGGTCTTTGGGCCAGATGTTCCCTGTGGCGACCACTCAGTTCTGACCCGTCTTGTGGAAGCAGACACAGACAATAAGCAATGTGTGCGACTATAATGGAGAAACTGTATTTATAGACACTGTATTAAAAAAGCTGGAATTCCATAACATTTTCACGAAGTGCCAAAAAAAATCAATATTTTTAATCAGTTAAAAAATGTAAAAACTGGTTGAGCACAGTGTCTCATATCTGTAATCCCAGCACTTTGGGAGGTTGCAGTGGGAGGATCACTTGAAATCAGGAGTTTGAGACCAGCCTAGGCAACAGTGAGACCCCATCTCAACAAAAATATTTTAAAAATTAGCTGGCATGGTGGTACATACCTACAGTCCCAGCTGCTTGGGAGATTGAGGCAGGAGGATTATTTGAGCCCAGGAGTTCAAGGCTGCAGTGAGCTATGATTGTGCCACTGCACTCCAGCATGGGCGACAGAGCAAGACCTTGTCTCAAAAATAAATACATAAATAAAAATAAAAATGTAAAAACCATTTTTTTTACAAAAAAAAAAAAATCCTTAGCTCATGGGCTGTACAAAACAGCTGGAAGGCTGGATTTTGTCCATGGGCTGCAGATGGCAGACCCCTGGCATAGACCATCTGACCGTATCCCAGATACTCCTTTCTACCTGTCCAAATCACCTTCTGGTCAGCCTCTCCAGAAGCCCTCTGGCTGCTCCTGGTCTAAGTGATGAAACTTCTTTAAAAATCACATTGCAACCTGCACATCAAAAGCTGTGCTATCTTTCCCATAAATCACCTGGAGAATCTGTATTCTTCCTTATTCTAATGATACTTCCATTGTCCAGAATATCTTTAGCATTCAAGAATTGCAGTCAGTCAACAAGCCGTATAAGAAAACGAATCCCCTTTCTTCTCTAGGTCAGCTATGCTCAAAATGTAAGCCACATATATAATTTTGAATTTCCTGCTAGTCACATTTTTTTTTAAATCAGAGTCTCACTCTATTAACCAGGCTAGAGTGCAGTGACACGATCATGGTTCACCATAGCCTTGACCTCCTGGGCTCAGGCAATCGTCTTGCCTCAGTCTCCCAAGAAGCTGGGACTACAGGCACTCTCCACCATGCCCAGCTAATTTTTAAATTTTTTTTTGTAGAGAGGAGATCTCACTATGTTGTCCAGGCTGGTCTCAAACTCTTGGTCTCAACTGATCCTCCCACCTTGACATCTCAAAGTGCTGCGATTGCAAGCAT